GGAATTATTGAAAATATATTTGAAGTAAATATTAAGACAATTTTAAAAGAGATGTGATAGTCAATAATTCTGATGAATTTTAATATATGACTATATATTTTATCTGACTTTAAAAATCTGAATGGTTTGAATGAAAAAAATTGTTTTAAAGTGTATTAATATTAATGTAATTATTTTAAATATATTTGAACACTTCCAATATTTATTTTGGCTATATTATCATAATTCTATTCAGCACAGATATCCATGAGAAACATTTTATGTGAATTTTAGTACTATAAACACAGTTTACTAGCTTAAACCTTATACTCATCAAGAATTAGTTAAAATTTTCTCTGTGCAGCCTTCATGACTTTTCCATTCAGACATAGTCAGCCTCTCCACTGTATTTCAATAACATTTGACAACTATTGTTACAGCTCTGTTTCTTCATATACATTTAATTATTCTTTTATGAGCAATCTGGACTGGTCTACAGCACAGACTACTGAGTATGTGTTAAACACCACATCAACAAAGGTGGTAATTATTTTACACATGGCCCTGTGAAGAAGCTCTTCCCAGTTACTTGATTGTGGTTTGGATACTAAACTTATTTCTCCAGGTTATAAAGTTAACAAGGGGAAAATTTTACACTCAGTGTGGTTTTATGGCTGGAAAACTGTGTTGATAGTGGACAACTATATTTCCATGGAGAGAAAATACCTGAGATTTTCGGCACTTCCTTCATTATCATGTTTACTCTTTCTAGAAGCCCTAATGTAATACCATGATATTCCAGATATGGAAATGGAGCTCTAATATGGGGTTGAGCGCTGATGGTTCATGTGACACAAACAAACTCTTATACAGAATAGGTGCCAAAAGTGTACTAAAGTCCAGTGAATAAAAACTGAATTCTCATGTTGAGGACTACAGATATTAATATAGAATAGTGCGCTGTATTGTCAATGCATAGTTTCAAGAACATCTAAAGAAACATTTATTAGTACTCTTTTACTTTTTTATGTCAATATCCAAAGACTTTTCAAATGGAAATAATTGGAAAGGGTTTTCTATAATTTCAGAACAAGTAGAAAATGAACATTTTATTTTAAGAGGATAATTCAAATGCAATTACTGATGTTTTTAAATCTAATAACTACAGTAAAATAAGAAAATTAATGGGAATAATACCCTATAGAGAACTATAAAAATTTTTGTAAATATCCCAAATTTTAAAAATCATCCATTAATTTCTTAGGTGTTACTTTTCTATTATAGAATGAATTAAGGCTTAATTTATCATAAATTAACACACAGGTCTAAGTACAAACACACACACAGGTATGAAGTACCAAATACTGTCTGAAATTTCAGTTTCCTCATTTATTCTGTGTTTTTAATAGTATTGATGTCAATTATAAACTCTGGAATTGCCTCAGGTTATTGAAAATAGATAAATTGGAAACAATGATAAAAAGACATTATAAAAATGAAAGTTTAATTGCAATATGATTAGATAAAAAGTGAAAAATTCTAAATGATCACAGAGTACAAAACTGCATGATTACAGATATCAAAGGAAGAAATATTATATCAATCTGTCATATTTATGGTTTAGATGGTAATTAACTTTAGTAAAATAAGATCTACTACATCAATATTTGTAAGTATTAAATTTATTGACTTTACAGTTTACTGGTGTTTAATTACAAATTTTCTTTGATGTTATAGATGTACAAAAGCTATAAGCTAGGGATTTATATTGTTTTATGTTGCAAGTTTTAATGAAGTAATATAAAAACCAATAAATTATTGTGAATTCATGAGAACATCTTGCCCTTTGAAAAGCTGTTTAAAAATACACTGGTAAGCCATGACAAACTACAGTTATCTTTAATACTGAAATACATAGACATTTCATTATACTGAAGGAGATAATTTCAAACTTTCAGTATTCTAAGTGGGTTTTCTAGCAGTTACATTGTGAATATTTCTTTTTCATTTTCACAGATATTTTCTACATACGTCTGTGGGTCAGAAACTGTACTGGGCACTATGAATGCAGAATGAATGATCCCACCACCACTAAAAACTTATCCTCGGAGAACACAAAATGTTCAGGAAAAGTCATAGTTCTGATAATTGCAAGCCAAGTCCAGTTTAGGTTATAGTGGCAGGTTATTAATGGAAGATCTAATCTTATCAGGAGTAACAATTTAATCCTGAAAAGAGAATTATAATGATCTTTTTGAAAGGAAGAGTGAATAGCTTATGAGAATGGCTAGAGGTAGAAAAGAATAGGTTTACTTCACAAACTAAAAGAAATTATTTGGTAAAGAGAAAGAATTAAAAGTGTTGTGAGAACTGCAGATCCTGTGGGTTCCTATGTCAGCATCAAGTTTTGGCTTTATTCCTAAAGTTACTTAGAAATCACTGTAAACTTCAGAATGTCTGGTAATGTATAATCAGATTTTTATTTTTAATTACTTATTCTGACTACATTAGGAAGAATGGGATAGAAGAATAAAAACTAATTTTTTCTAAAATGTATACATCCTATAACTCCTTTAGGATTCTGATAAGCTATGGATTTTACAAAAATCTCCTTTAACCACCAGTTGGTTGGTTCTGTGTTCTCTACTCTGTTTCAATCTCTTGAAGGACAGTTTTATGTACTATTTATCTTTATTTATTTTAGAACAGAACATGATACTCAGCACTTGAGACATGTTATGTGAGCTAGAATTAGTTTTTCTTTTAAAGAATACTGCTTTGATGTCAGTCAATACCAACTTAGATATTCTGACCTGCTAAAAATCAAATCTTTGAAGATTGTTTGGTGTCTGAAAATACAGCTTTATTTGGAGAACTTTTATAAACATTAAGGAATACACATAAGACAACAAATTTCCTTCACTCTTAACACTGACATTGTTGGAAGTGGTGTCATGTAAATAATTTTACTTTAAATCATAAGAGATCAGTAAATAAATGAAATCTCTGAGATAGTGATTCTTAAAATTGGAAAAACTAATTTTAAATAGATATTTCAAAAAAGTATACGAGTAAAGAATAATAATACAACTAAGAATAATGATGAACATACCACTTAAAATGTTTTCCATATAATATTTTACATTTAAATTAAACAAAAATAAGGCAAGAGTGTTTATTTGTCCAGTAGATGGCACCACTGAAGGAATCTTTTACTGTTTTAGAAATAATATGGGAAAGGTTAAACAGGTATTGGTTCTTGCGTAGCATTGAAGATTATGATAGCAAATGAGAAAATTTGAGCACTGATTTGGAATCTACAAAGAAAGTACTCTTGACATTTAATTGAAAATTACATGAATACGCTAAAAAAATCTTACATGGAATCATTTTCATATCATTTTATTTAATCTGACAATTTATTACTATCTTATCTTTTCTGAATCTGAATTATGGTTCCACGTTCTACAATATTTTAATTTGTAAGCACAGAGCTTCTCACAAAACACGAGGGCAAATTCTAAGTAGTATTTGTATGATAACTGATATTTGCAATAAAACCTATATCATAAATTTTCCTATTTCTATTTGATGAACTACAACTTTTGGGTTGTTTTTTTAAATTTTAGTTAGCTCATGAAATTTTCCAAAGGAAGTGAAAAAATATATATTTATTTCACAATACTTAAATAAAAATTTACCAATTTCTATTTCCTAGTAGTAAGAAACTGTCTACTTAATTAATTAAATTATAAGTTGAAACATGTCCCCTATATTCTTATGTGTAGCAATATTTTATAGCACAAAAGTAAATAGAGATTCAGAGATGTAAATTTAACCCATTAATAGATATTACCACATGCTAAAACCTCATTTTAGAATGTGTGCTATTAGAGAATCAAAGGAAATACTTTCAGTATAAATTCTAATAGAAAATGAGCTTCTAAATTATTTTCCTATGGATTACAACTAATTCGTTTAAAAATATATTGATTTCTGTCCTTCTGCCCTAAGGATGGAATGGCTTTTCATTACTTATGACACAGTCTGTGTAAACCACGACTGCATACTACATAAACCATAGCCAGTTTAGAAAATACATGATGATGAGTTGGAATGTTATAGATATTTATATTTGAAATATGTTCAGGAAATTAATGTTTTCAATGCTGCATCTACTGATATGAGTTAACTTTTATTCAGCACTACAATGACTTTTTCCTAAGGGGCTGTGTGAACAAGTCAGCAAGAAATAGAAAACGGTGTCTGCTACATTATTTTATAATAGATAGACTTACATAAAGTTAATATTAACTTATATTAATTTTCTATTATTGAGCAGAAAATTACCAATATATGATTTGGTTTGGTGGTACTTTTTCCTCTTAAAAATAAATTAGAAATTTAAAAAATATCTAGCATTGGAGCCATAATACCGATCAATAGCTGTTACCTTTTCAACATGAGAAGTCTACTTTCAGTACAATCATGATTCAGGCAATAGGTAATTCAGAAAATGAAATTCAGTGCTATATAAAAAACACCAAACATGTTTCTGTTTTTTCCAACCAAAGCTTCTACTTTCTCAAGTGTTAGCATTCAAATAATATCAAAATCTCATGCAAACACTGAAAAGTGCTATATGGGACCAATCGTCTCTGTGTAAATATGTGCAGGTATCAACAGAATCTGGCTATTTTTATTTTCTGGTATTTCAACATCATGACTGTCATGTAACAAGAAATAATTATTTAGTACAAGTCTGTAATATCTTTCAATTGCATTATTTTCTTTTTATTCTAACCCCCTCCCCCTCCAACATTTGCACTGCACTTTTATTTTTGTTTTAATTTTAATTTCTGCACTTTCAAATTATTCAAGTTTTGGCTGTTGCTATCTCTATTGTTCAGCTATTTTACCTACAACTTGTCTCTCTTTCAGTTCATTGTCTAATTAGAATCATTACGAAAAGATAGCTTTGGCTGTAACTAAATGGGGACAAGTAAAATAACATCCAATACCTCTATGAGTAACAACTGCAAGTTCTTTAGTTCTTTCTATCTGTTCAGCATTTCTTGGTCTTCTCCTTGTACTTTGTGTATCTGCTTGATGAGGAGAGAGCCCGTCCTTGGATGTGTTGGGGTCCAGACCTGAATTTCTGAGATGCGTAACTTGCACTCGCTGTTCCTCGGAAACTCTATGGATGGTGACAGCTGTAACACTGGATACAGTAACATCTGCAGGGGTGCTAGCAACAGCAATAGCACCAGTGGTAGTCCTGTTATGCTCCTCTAACTCACCAGTGGAGGTAGTGTGGGTCAATGTAGAAGAACCTGTGGGACACAGTAGCACTACATGCTAACTTTTTCTTTTAAATTTTGGGTTTTTTCTGATAATTTTAATAAATTATTTTTTCTTCTATTACCATTACAGATAACGAACATGAAGAGGCAAAACACAAATACACCACTAAAATGTGAAGCACACTCAACCTGTAGACTTGTTTGTACCAATCAACATATGGATAGATATTACACACAAAATACAGCACATTTTCACTGAAATATATTCAGGGGTGTAAAGGAGTAAACCCTCTATGCAGTCCTGAACCGTAGTTTCTTTTGCCTTTTTAATTTAGACATGAATTTTAGCAACATATGCCTGGCAATCAACAAGTTTTGAAGGAATTGGAAACTATATAACCACACTTTTTTCAAAAGTATGTTTTGAATAATTTGTGCCATATCTCTTCATACTTGCTGGAAAAAGTATAGAAAAAATCTATTTTAAGATAAGCAAGTGAAGAACTGAAAATTTAAAATCAAGCAAAAATGAAAACAAAATGATGAAATAAACGACTGAAATTACCATATGTAAATATGTATTTTAACCTTATTTGCCAAAAAACATCCAATGTAGTAAAATATTCAATGTCATGAGTTATATGTACTTTTAAATTTAATACATTCTCTGAAATTAGTTAATATTTTCTATTATTTCTAAATACAACTTTAGATTAACCAATGTCCAACTAATTCAAATTAAACAAATTATTGAATTTAAAAGAGATTGAAAACTACCAGTGAATGAGAGACTTTTATTCATACAAAAATAGTAGTAAGCAATGATTGGGAATTTCCAAATATCTCATAAACATTTCATGATGTGTCCATATTCCCACCACGTACTATAATTATATATAATATCATCAAACCTTATCTTTACTAGAGTTTCATAATAATTTAAAAAACGAGTTCAAGGGGCTGGGGTATATAGCTCAGTGGTAGAGTACTTGACTAGGATCCTTAAAATCCTGGATTTGATCCCAAGCATGGCAAAAAAAAAGCAAAAAGAAAAGTATTCTCACTGTCGAATTAGGATTTTAGTTCTCTTTTCACTTATATTTAGTAAAAGCTTTTCCTCATAGTGCATAGTTCTTGTATAATAAAAAGCTAGTGTTATAATAACGGAAACACGAAACTGAATGAGCATATATTTAAAAGGACCTTGACATCTAAAATGCTAACAAGATAAAAAGCATGAATTTTGGTGTTGCATCACTGCTTAGGAGTCATAGACACTCCAGGTTAGAAAACTCCTGGATACTTTTTTTAAAGCCCGTGAGCAGTACGTAATTTTGTGTCCTTTCTTAACATTTCAAAATTCTGTTCACAATGTTTAATTAAATATTTTAGGCAGACTTAGAGATATTTTAGCCATTTTGAAAGAGGAAAATAGCACAATCAATGAATACGGTTGGAAAATGCTATATATGTTTTTTCTCTTGTAAGTAGGTGAGTATTAGGCCCATTAATTCTGCTTTTTTTATTAAAGTTAAAAAGAAAGAAAGAAAACCAAATATGAGGCCTTTCATTTGTAGGCATGTAAAAGAATACATTTCTGCTACTAATTCTTCCAGCCGGAATTTTCATATATTATCTGAATTTGATATAGATATAAGAATATTTAAATGTCACTTACACTTTATGGAACCAGAGGTGATAGAAATATAATAATTATCAGATTATTCTAAATATTTTATAGCATCAATCTGAAAAGGCTCTATTATATTATTTTATGAAGATTATGATCCACTAAAATCATGATGGTTATGGACATCAGCCTGTAATATTTACTAAGAAAATATCTAATAAAGGTTCATTTAATCACATGATTGAGCAATAAGTGCTACAATACAATCATACTGTAGTTGGTCTCAGGGTAATCACTATCTTTGTGATACTCATATGCTTATTATTATGAAAAAAGAGTCAAATCACTGTGCAAATAATTGAATTGAGCATTCTAATTTGGAGAGAACATAGGAAAGTAGGATGAAAACTAATATTTTAAGGTTATTCTTAACTTTATCATAATTGCCAGATTTCCAATGTTCAAAGAAGGAAACTAGTCAGGCCTGACTATACATGCCTGTAATCTCAGTACTCTTGAAGGCTCAGGAGAATTGGAAATTTGAGCCCACCCTGAGAAATTTAGCCACTTAGTGAGACCATGTATGAGAATAAAATAAAATAAAAGTAGGGCTGAGGATGTAGCTCGGTGCAAAACCCTTGGGTTTAATCCCTGGTACCACAAAAAGTTAATAAATTATACCTAACAATCTAGATTTTAAGTAGAGGATGAAATCATTTAACTAGAAACATGTATTGCTAACTGTAATAAAAGTATGAGAAATCATGGAGTTTCTACTCTGTTTCTAATATGAGTATTCCTATTTTAACAAAGAAATAAACTGAATTTTTACATTTCATCACGTAGTTATTAGGATTAATCTAAAAAGAAGTTTCTTGCTGTTGGGTACATAGTTCTTTGGTAATTCCTAGGAACCAGTTTAGGGTGCTTCATTTCAGTTTAGGTTGAACATATCACTCAAAACACCCACCTTCCAGAAGATCCCAGGAATTAAATAAAATTCCAGACCAAAAGCTGGAAGTTAAAACTGATGCTCAGTACCAGTTCAACTCAGGATTCCTAGCAATCCGAGTCCTAAAATCTTCTGCATTACAACTATAACTCCAACCAATGATGGTAGTAATTCTGTGCTGTTCCCTTACCCTGAAATCAGTATAGGATTTAATGTTAAAATAAAATATTGAAAAACTCTTTTCAATAACCATAATCTAACCAGATATGTATTTCAACCAAATATTTTAATAGCCAGTTCTTATGTTTTAACATGTGTTGTTTTCATATTTTCTCTTTCCCTAAAATACAAGACAAGCTCCCAGAGCTTCAAACTTTTGTATATTCTGTTTATTGCTGAATCCCTATTACAGTATCTAGAAAAGTGCCTGGCATACAATAGATGTTCAGTAAACATTCTTCCAAAAATGTATAAATGGATGAATGAATTTAATAATGAGGCTAAAATCATAGTAGCAATAATAAAAGAGGATAAATTTCACAAAATATGACATATGATTACAATAGGTACCATGGCAAAGTCACATTGGAAACACTGACCGAAATGAAAGGAAAATGCAAAGAATGAGGAAGAAATCTTTAATTTTGTTTTTAATTTTTAAAAACTTCCTTTTGAAAAAGTGTGGACTCTGAAGATTTGGTTGCATAAGTAAGAATCACTTGGAGATATTTTGTTGTAATTCCTAAACATTAAAGTTTACTTTAGTGACGCAAACTCGGTTTATTTATGTATGTAAAATCATACATATATATGATTGTGTTACCAAAAAAGTAGGATTTCATCTACATTTAAGTAGGTATGTTTTATACATATAGTGGAACTATAAAGAAATGACACCTACTTCATTTATAAGTCAATAAATGTTCCATCACCATACAGTTATAAAATGTATATGTTTAATCATTTTATTTAAAATGTAAACCAATTTAGAAAGTTCAGTTTATGAAACAGATTTCTAAATCATCAAACTTCATCACTTAACATTTTTTAAAAAACACTCAAAAGTTTTTGCATAAATAACTTTTAGCGGTAATTGCCAAGGTTGGAAAAAGCCTAAGAATTATGAAGAGCAACAATCCAGTTTAAATATATAATATAGCTTATCCAAAATTAAAATGCAATATTTTACTTTCTTTATGAAGTATGCAACACAATTATGTAAACATTGTCTTTGATAGCACAGTTAAATGCATACAACAAGACATACAACTCAAATTAAAGGAAGAAAATGTACATTCAGAAAATTCGTACTTCACTTAAAATCAAATCATGTATACAAGATGTAATTTATCACAATTAGATTAACCTGTCATTAAATTATTTGATATATAATTTTAAATAAGATGTTTACAATATAAAAATGTATCTGAAATATATTTAACACAACATTTTTCAATATAACAAAAATAAAATGAAATGATTTACATATATAAACATGCTTCTATAAATCATAAGTTTGTCATACTTGAATTCATGGTAATGGAAAATGACATATTATACATGCAAATTATTAATTGATTTAATAATATTGCATACAATATTAAATTAGAATTTTATTGTGTATTTTAAGAAAATTAAGCTTAGAAGGACTTTAAATTTCAGCAACATATCTTCAAGAGACTAACCATGAGCCTTTAATAAATATATAATTTAGAAAGTGTACAAAATAAAACCTCATGTCAAAATCCATTTGAAATTACTTTTTATTCAAGTAAATTTTTAGTCCTATAGATTATTTTAGAATTTGCTATGTTGCTTTGATCTAACTTAGCTTAAGAACAGAATATGCTGCCAAAGATGCAGGTGGGTGGCTCAATATCAATATATACATAACCATGTAAGACTCCATTCATGACTATTTTAAATGTAATTCAAAATAGTCAAAGAATTTACTTTTAGATATCTATGTTTGGTACATTATTTTATATAAATTAGCTTCCTATATTATGTTCCTTCCTTTAATTTTATCTGAAACATCTGAATGAAAATTTAATACAATAGTAATAATATGTAACAATGAAAATGTTATCAACATTTAAAATGAAACCATGAGAAACAAAAATGTATATACACAAAATAAAATAATACCAAAAATACCTAAGTACTTCTAATGTGATAATCCTATGATAGTCATTGCTTGACAGGATCTAATTTAATTTTTTTTCTTCTATTCCACATTGCTTACATGAAAAGTATATGAAAACATGCAAACACGAGAACATTTCAAACTAATTAAATATGAGTATGTGGTAAAAGAAAGACATTCATCTGTTAAATGTTAAATCACCATTTTTACTAATTGTAGTATAGTTGGGAAAATAAAGTACTTTGTATTTTAAACATTAATTCTACCATCTTAAAATTGGCCTAGTCTAGTATTTAATAGTT